AATAAAATATGAAAGCTAAAAAAAGTTTTTGGGAAGGTTTTTTATAATTCAGGACTGATGAGATAGGTAAGTTATAAAAATACACAATAGATATATTGTAACGATAACTTTATAACTGGATATCAACTGAAAGCAGACAGGCTAATTTGGGTTGTATGCTATGACTAACTTGTTATAATTGACTAACTAATTCTAATTGTTGAATATTTTCATTTAAAATACACTTATTTGCATTTAAAATAATCATCCAATAACCAGAACCCGTTTGGTTAAATTGTGAACTGATTGACGAAATTGCTATCAAATAAATATGTTTCTTATGTAGGTATTTCAAAGTGGTTTGACCATCTGCACCCCGTATGGAAATTTATGATAAATATTTCTACGATTAGACTATTTACTCCACAAAGCTGGATTATTGTAAATGCAAATAAACTAAGTATATAAGAATCGGGTGAAAAGTTAAAAGCAATTGTCAACTTACATTGCATTTCATAAAAATGGCTTATTAACAGATTAAATCCTCATTCTCTTCATAATTAAGTACAAAAGATTCAATTAATAGCAATCTAGGCAGGTATTGATTAATGTTTAGGGCTGTGTGAAAACTGACTACGCAAGACAATCTACTGCTGCCATTCAAGCAGAAAACTCGACGATCAAAAAGTACTAGTAAATCTAATTGTTCTTTCCTTACCTGAGCTCATAGTTAATGAAATAAATTAAAAATAAAGGAAAACTATTACATATTTAGTTTACGTTGATGACATTTTATTATCACCTAACCTCACTGCTTGGGCGTCAGACAGCTCCGGCTTAAGGCGATTAGTGAGTAATAATTCAACATTTTAAACATTTTTAACGTCTATGGACACTTACTGGCTGTTTTAACGATAAAATCCACATCTTTTGCCTGTTCCAATAATGTCGGCATCTTCATTATGCTGCAAAATATCGTAAATGACGGAAAATCTCTATAAATCAGCACACTACGAATGATTGTTATGGAAAATTTACCTGCCGGTCCCCCAACAAAGACAGATGAATTGGGGAGGGTACAGAACCGAATTCTTCTCGTCCGAATTTTTTGAAACTGCAGACTATTGAAATGGAATATTGACAAAATGAAAATGTATTTGCTATCAGCATTTGTTTCATTGCTTCATTTAGGATCCTGATGAAGAGATATTCTAAAGCTAAAGTAGCTTCAAATATTGTTAATGTTTATAAGTAATGTGGCCTTAGGTATAAAAGAAAGCAGAGCCATAGAGAGAAGAATATTATTGATGAAATTATGAGCTGCAAGAAATGGAAAAAGAAAAGCAAAAGTTGTATCACATATGGTTAAATAGGAAAGAACAAGAACACAAAAGAGAATATAGAGGTTTAATACCAATAACAAGAAAAAACCAAAGATGGGAAAATAAATGTCAGGAATTAGTTACATACAGGGTGAGTTTTTTCGATGACTAGGACCTACAGGGATTTTGCAATCTACAGCAGACACGAAAAATTTTAAATGTACAAAGAATTACAGTGTTGAATCAGGGTGACCAGACTGAGAAATGGCACTGTCGCCAAAAATGACACAAACGTCGCCAAATGTAGACTTAAAAATCGCCAGTTATGGAGCCAAGTAAATTCAAACGGGGTAAACCAATAAAAACAAAGCGGAAGGGTTTAAATTAAGCAAGAACTTTAGTTTTGAACAAGTTGAATTGAAATTATATATGTTTACTTGTGTGTCTAAAATATATTAATATATAAGAAATATATTTTTTTCAAATCCAGTAATTTTCACTTATACTAATGCAAGGAACATCAAAATCAGACCTCTTCAAAGTAGGTCTAACATTTCAGTTTCTTCTTGTTCATACTCTAAGTCAATCGCTTTGACTTTACTCTCAGTATTTCGATATTATCATATCAGTAGTAGGATTAAAATTCTAACAGCATATATTATGTGCATAGAAATAAATCTTTATCCTTAAAGACAAATTTAAAGAATTTATCTTTACTTTTTATAAACATATCTTTTGGCTGGTACATCTCTCGATTATTCGATCATCTGAAATCATATATTCTTTACTTCAGATGCCGGCGTTTAGATCTTTAAGCTTATACTGCTATTTTTTATCAGGCTAATAGAAAATTCCAAAATCACAAAACCAAAATCGTAAAAAAAATTGTCGCCAACATAAGCAAAAAATCGCCAATTTAGCGATAAATCGCCACACCTGGTCACTCTGTGTTGAATGCTCTACTCGAAATTACGTTTCTTTTTTCAAAATTTGACAGGTGTCAAAAGATATTTGAAGAAAACTAATTTATGACAGACTTTTAAATAACTCCAAGTTCAGTGAGTATTAATCTGACAGGAAAACATTAAATAGAAACGGTTTAGGAAATTGCATTGCAAATTAACTGACATAAGACATTTTTACAAATTAACTCTTATTTTTGACATATGACATCAACTTGTATTTTTTCAATTGAAACCATATTTGATTATACCTTTATTAAATAGAGCATTTTATTACGATTTCAGTGCTATGTCATATCGTTTGGTTTTTTTCGAAAATGAGGTGTCTGCGAATTATGTTTAGTTTTTTAATGTAGTTGATCGACGTTAGCCATGGAAAATAGTTTAAAACTTGGTTCTCATGGGTCGGAAATGCTTTGCGGAGTGCGGAAAGTGCGCGCGCAGCCTACTACTACTATTACTACGCGCGGAAAAATTCACACAGTTCACATGCAGCGTTGCCAGGTCCGAAAATCGAATTTCGGTAGATAAGCTCGACTTTTTCGGTAGATATCGTAAGAAATCGGTTTCATTTTTCTTTCATTACTAAGGGCTCCATAAAATCGCACGTTTTTTTAAACTTAAATTTTTATGAACTTACAGCAATACTAAAATAAACATAAGAGTCAATAAGTATATTTTTTTAAACATTACACCACATTGTTAACAAAAATAAAATAATAAACACAAAAAATAAATAAAATTTCCATCATACATTTTGCTATTCAAATTCTTAATACTAATTTTGCGAACTAAACACTTCTTTCTTTTAAATAAAGATATTTCTTCAGTCTTCCAAATTATCCTTATATACGATTTTATCATTCATAGATAACACAAGCTTATCTTCAGTTTCAAAACTATGACAATTGTCGGTACCAATATATCTCTTAGTAGAAGTAAAGATGAAATTGTACTAGTTTTTAACTTATTTCTCAACTTAGTTTTCATTATATTAACCTGTGAAAATATTCGTTCTACATTGGCTGATGAGTGAGGCAGAAGCAAGTTACAAATAAAATTCGTTAAAATTGCAAACATGAATAGCCATATTTCCATATTTTCAGAAAATTTTTGATTTTCTTCGACATTTCGCAATAGACGCCATTCTGTGTTCAGACCTTATAGTTCACTATTATTTATTGGTATATGGAACTATCATCGCAACATCAGAATTAGATTGTAGGGACTTGATTTCACTATTGCCGGATCCACAAAACATAATTTTTCTATAGGAATACCTTTTAGTGGGTACCGCTTTATTATTTGTGAGCATCCTTCAGCAGATGTAAAAATCTAAACACCTTAACTTAAAACATGTCAGTTGCTCTTCTGATATTACGGATTCTAAAATTGTTTTCTGTACATTAACACCTAAATAGATGTCAGAAACGGGTAAGAAATTATTAGGATTTTTAAAGTGCCAATGTTGGAAATTGGAACAGAAAGTAAGTAATTCATTTTTAAAAAACAGTCAAATAGATTTCTGAGTATGTTATATTATTTTAAGTAATCCACTGTAAATTGTTTAACTTTTAATTGTTACTTTTCGGTAGAAATCTGCATGGTATCGGTAGGTCGGTAGATTCCTTGACGAATCGGTAGATCTACCGAAAAATCGGTAGACCTGGCATCTCTGTTCACATGTATCCATATTATTTTTCCTCATTCCGCCGACAGTGTTGGCATGTCTTTCGGGAAGCGAAACACAATAATATTTTTTCTACATTTTTTTATGCTAGTATTTTGAGGGGCATGAAATGACCGTTTGAAACCAAAAGTTAAACTTGCTTTTGTCTCTGTACGTTTTAAAAAGAAGGAAACAAAGACATCGAAATGAAAGACGGTCGAATAGACGCCGCTTAACATAACCTTTCACTGGAGATAACCTAGGTTTTCACATTCTTCCGCACGCGGAAAATATAAAATTTTGGGAACTTCTGCGGATGGGCGGCGCTAACGCATCCGGCAAACTTCTGATTGGTCGGAACGTTTTCCGCATTCCGCATTCCGGACTCATGAGAACCCAGCTTAAGGCATACAGCATTGTTTTCATAGTAACATATAATAACAATATGCTTCAATATTTATTTTGACAACTGTCTTAAAATCGGTAATAACTTTATTTTGACTTAATTTTAAGACGACGAGAATTTTTTAATTCATTAAAGGGCCATATTTGTTTTCATGAACTGGTTTTTTTACGGCTCGCCACAAAAAAATCCAAGGCTGAACCCAGAGGTAGCAGACTGTAGTCATTTTGACGTAAAATTTTTGGATATTAAATGCCCGACTGACGTTAAATTGCCGTCATTATAACGCCACAATGTCACAGGTAAATTGATGTCAATTGCTGACGTAATTAATACGGTTTTTGGTTTTTCAATTTTTTTTTTATATTTAGCAGTTACAAAAATACTATTTCTATGAGTTCAATGTTTTATTGCAAAAAATTGACAAACTTTCTTATACATATTACAGATTATTCATTTTACGCTTGGGAAAGTAAAGTATGATGCACAGGCCTTACAATATTAGTAACCGATTCAGTCTCTTCAAATTTTTCCACTGTGTTCGCAATTGTTATCTCTGTGGGTCGATTATGTCGACCGACCGTCGATTTGCTCGTAAAACCGTAAACAACCACATCATCAATTTAAAAAATCCGGCGGGTGTAAAAAAACCAGCGATAGAAAAATTATAGAGACCATATAATTTCGCCAAAGCCGCTTGAACTTGCAAACAATGATAATCAGGCGGAACTAGAAGCTGTTCCAATTCCAATTACTACACGCTGTTTAATTATCGCTTAAATATAAAACAAAGCGATAATTGAGACGAAATGATTTATTATTAACAAATTGTACATGCTTTCCTGACTGCGTTTCAATTCCAAATCAAAATTAATTCCTGGGTTTCAGTCATTTATTGTCTCTATTTATCAGTTAAAATAAGTTTCGGTGTATTTTTCCACCATCATCAGTTTTTCTAAAATAACAGATAGTAAAAAAAAAATTCATTAATTTAAAAAATTGCGAACTGTGATTAACTGTGACTTAAATTAATGAAATTTTTTTTTTAACTATCTGTTATTTTAGAAAAACTAATGATGGTGGAAAAATACACCAAAACGTATTTTAATTGATAAATAGAGACAATAAATAACTGAAACCCAGGAATTAATTTTAATTATTAACAAACTAAAATACATAAACAAGTCAAATCGCAAAAACTTGAATATAATCCACAATAAAGTGATAATCATCAGTGTTCAAATTCCAGGTGGGCTCCCATTGGTTTCTGCCCTTCCAAAAATCGGTCATAGGATGAAGTGAATGGTTTTTCCAGGGTTTACCCCCAATATTCTGGGCTTCATCTGGAAAATAACCAGTAGCGCCAACGGCTAAATTGATAATTATGTGAAACTGTTGATCAAACGGGGCCATTTTCGTTCCAGCACTCCATGGATTAGGCTTGGTGCTATTTTCAAAGTTTCCCAACTCCCAGAAACCTCCTATTGGCGGGTTAAGTGTGCCAATCAGCTCTTCGTCAATGTAGAACTGGAAACCTTCAGGATTCCAGACAACTTTGTAGATGTGAAAATCTTTGTTGAACCCTGAGGAATTGCTTTTTTCCCAATGGGTTTGGCTGAATTTGTTTTCAGCTGGCGATGGGCCCCAGTGAAGTGTGCTAAATGCTAGCTGAGATCCCAAATTACGCCCCGAAGAGTCAGTTAAATCCCGATTGCCACGGCTTTCCATAACATCTATTTCGCCTGATATTGGCCAGCTTCCATACTTCCAATCAGTAGGTAGAAGCCAAATGGCCGGCCAAAGCCAATCACCTGCGGGTATTTTCGCTCGGGCTACTATCGTTCCATATTTGAATGAAAATGATTCCAATGTGCGAATTCTAGCACTTTCTATTGGGTTTAGGATATTATCAGTCGTTCCAGTTCGTAAGCAGCCATTATTGTCTGGATTAGTACACTCAGCAGTAATATTTAAAGTTCCAGAGCACAGAAAGTCTTGGCCATAATCATCAACTAAATAAGTGGGTTTAATGTGAAGTTTCCCATCTAAAGTGTAGCTGTTTGATCTGCTGTTGCGATAATACTGGAATTCGCCGTTTCCACAGCCAGACAGTGTAATTTCATGTTGCCACGTCGAAACATCGAAAGAGTCGAATTGATCTTCGAAAATTAAATCTCCGGAACAGAGTTTTTGTGATGGTTTCCTAACGGTTCCACTGGTGGTAGTTGCACTTGGTATATCGCAATCCGCTCTGGTTGATTGGGTTTTCAGCATCAGCATCAAAATCAAAAATATAATTGGAATATTCATTGTTTTTATGACTCAAGTGATGGATGAGCGGCTGTTTTTTCTAAATTTTTTTTCTAATTCTAAAAAAAATAAGGACTTAAATATAATTTTAAGTTGTGATACAGAGGTTTGTTAATTGTGCATTGGTTCTGGCTATATTGTTTCTAGTCTCATATACAACGAGCCCCAGAGATAGAAAAGATGATAAGTTCATTTAAAATTCAACGCACTACTTTTTTGTGGGAAAAAGCTCGTCACCGGCGATTTTTCATACCAAATTTATTTATACTGGTAGGTCCAAAAATAAGTTCGAAACATCAACTTATTTTTTCAAATTAAAGCACCTGCTTTTTATTGTAATTTTAACTCTCCATTGAGTTCTAAGAGTTACTCAGGTAACATGTGTTACATTTAAACTCAACTGCCGGCCGAGAAATTCACCATTGGACCCATAAATAATTAATAGCGACGTTTTTCCGTCAAGCGACAAATTTGCCTAGTCCTGAAGATGACCGATTTACTTTAAGAAACAGAGTAAGAATCAAATCAAATGATCAAAATGTGGACCATTTGCTACTTGACTAATATCTAAGGCATAATAAACTCTTCTGCAGTAAATTATTTTTTTGCCTCGTTAACTCCTGTTGAGTTTTGGTATATGATATTTTGGCACCTGAATCATACTTAGAATCTAATAGAAAATTCAAAATTAAACTAAAAAATGTCCATTGGAAACCATGGATGGATTTGATGGACCAGCCCGTATTAAGAACAAATTTGGATAAAAAAATCGCAATTTCAAATAAAAATTGACCATTCGGACCTTTTCCCCAAAACCAATCCGCTGAATTTTAAATGAATTTAGACATTAATTCTGGGACTCACTGTATATTAAATCGTGTGTTTTCAAAAATAGTTAATTTTTTGCTTATTTTATTTATGTATATTTTTTGTTTATATTTCGGCAAAAGATTTAAAATATCTTCTTGATCGAACATTTCATCACTAATCATTAGGATTTAGCAGAAAGTTCAATCTCTAAGAGATTGGCCCTACGAAGAACAATCATTTACTTTCCTGCAAAGAGCGTTTATTTGAAACTACACTATACAATATTGAAAAACAGGAACAAAGAGAAGGGAATAAGTTGCATTAAGTGCAACAACTAGTTGATGTTAGAATCTGAAACCTATAATTTTCTCTCGTTAAATTATTAGCCATCAAACGTAATAAATGACTAGAGCATTTGGTCGACTCACAAATCAAACTTATAAGAAGCAAAAATAATACTATAATTTTACATCTCACTTTAATGGCAACATGCAAATTCGATTGGAATTAACTTTTTATCAAAGGTGACAAACTGAATTCAGAAGGTTTTCTCCCATTCCGATTTTTCTAAGAGCTTCTTTCTAGAGCCATTCAACAGTTTTATTTAATTTATTTAAGTTTTATTTAAAAAAATTATTTAAGTTTATTTTTATCTCCTGAAACCCAAAAGTTCAATTTTTTCCAAATTTAATCGATCAACAATAAACACGAGGAAAGTTTGGTTCAAATATAATTTATAAACTATGTTACAAGCACTGCTGGGGCCGGTTTTGAACCTATTAGTTCTTATCTGTTGGCATTAACTTACAAATAACACATTCAAAATGACTGTACTGTAGATTTTTGGTTTTGCCATTTGCAAGAAGACGATGTGATGAAAGCAAGTAGATTTGAAACTGACACTGAGTGTTCTTGCTCAGGACAGCTTGTATTTGAACCATGCATTACTTACTAAATAACTAGTCAACAAACTATTTTAAAAATGGAAAAGGTTGTAAAATGTCCAAACAAAATAGCGAAGTAATTAGGAAAACTGAAAAAAACTTTAATTTTTGTCTTCATCTGTAGAACCAAATATACATTTAGATAAAATAAATACAAATAACCAAATTACACTAGAATTGAGACATTTGAAAAACACATTCAGTTAACTGACGGTAACTTTGTCTGTACAGAATCATTAGTTTTTCCAAAGTCATTTTATCTGCTTTTGGAAATATTATTGACGTACTTTTAAAAAGCAATCATTAACTGAATAATGTTTGATTTGGATAAGTTCTATAAATATTTTTTAAACGGTTTAATTAGCCAAAATTTTAATTCAAGGAAAACAAAAACATCCATTTGAGACTCAAGATTTGCAAAAACCACATATTTAATCAAATATTGATTTAAAGCCATCAAGTAATCAAACCACAAGACAGACGAAAACAAAGACAATTTTATTTACTTTTAGATTTGGATTTTCTCGATCACAATACTTTGCATAATTTTTACTGACCACCGTCCAATCGTAAGCGAAAGGCTTATTTTTTATTTCGAATTTATTTTTAGTTGATTTTCTAATTTTATATGTTTCTTATGTTCTATTTTCAATTACGTTCTGCACACAAATATGCAAATTTTTTTGCAGTGGTATTAGCTCACAATAAGATAAGAGTTTTGTTACTTATTTTTATACTTTATTTAGTTAAGTATATTTCGCCTTAGTTATTGAAAATTAGCTTAAAGCGTTGATCAAGCGTTATTGACAACATTCTAATTTATCAGCATGTGTTTGCCTCATTCATTTCTGTAATTGAATTCTGGTTTTTATATTGATTACTTGAGGCTTAAAAAATCTATATTTTGATTGAGCGAATCACCATAATTTTAGTTATTTTTATAAATCGTTTAAACTTTTTTACACTGTCTTTGGAAAAATGTATACTAGTTTACCATTTGATCATCTTGTGGGACCTGGCGCGTTTGGATAATAACAATAATAAAAAAATACGTGCAGGATTTAGTTGCATTTGAAGGAGCGCACACAGACTAGAAATTATTTAGCCACAATGTATTAACAAATCTTTGAAATTTTCTGTTAACTTTCTGCGAAAAGGAAAGTAATTTAGCTTTTGTATATTATTTTCACTTCATAGAGTATAAACTCACAAAAACGATTGACGAACGACGAAGTGTTCTGTGGTACTAAAGGTTTTTCACAACTGAACATTAGTTCGGCTTGCTGTGCAATAAAATCCGCTCAACTTTTTGTAACTAAAACTGCGAAATTCCCCACAATCGTAAAATTGATGTCAGTGACATTGGCCAATTAAAATTTCCGAAATTACCGCTCACACATGCATGATAATATATTTCATAGAAATGCACTGGTTCTGCTCTGAAAGTGGAGTTTTCCGACCATATGCTGAACTGGAAACTTTTTATTTTTTTATTAATTTTATCTCAAACATCCTAAACACATTTAATAGAGATAAATCTATATGTAATTGTTTATCACATTTGAAATTTTAGTATGATTGCCGCCCACAACCAAGGGAAAGCAAATAAATTAATTTTAATTCTTAAATGCAAAAAAATATAGTGCAAGTATTTCAAGAACCGAGACTAATGAGCTATCTGGAAACACATTGTTTCGATTATATGGAAACTGATTCTGATCAAGAGCAAACCGAAAAAGCTGAAATTAAAATTGGTAAAATAAATATAACTTGTTCTTAAAATTGACAATTTTCGCGTGAATCTTCGTTATTTTGTGTTAGTAATGTGTGATCCGTACTCAATTTTTTGTCAAAAATGTCCAAATGTAGCTTAAACAGTATATTTATATCCATTTTTATTTAATATAATTCCTGGGCTTAGAAACAATTGTAAATATGTACTTCGTTTTATGTAAAATATATTTTTTTAATATAAAGGGTTTTAAATAAAACGCAAGCATTAGCAATATACAAAATCATATGTTTATTCAATTATAAGAGCTACACTGAGGAACCATTTACTGTGCTGAATTTTCTACTAATTCAACAAGTATTTTCAGCTCAAGTTATTTGGAAATTATACTCAGTGCTGCTACATAATTTCCAACGTCCAATTGACCAGTTTTCTTAACGAAATTCCGCTTTAATTAAATAGAATTGCAGGTAAAATGTTTTAGTATTTATATACTTAGTTAATTTGTAATATATTATGTGCGTTCTAAAAACAAACGTGTTTGAATAAGAGGATATTTAAGGACTCTTATTGAGAGGACAAAAATACAATCTCGCATAAAATGTCAACTTGTGTGCCTACTATTTGGCACGCTTTTCCTATATATAAATATAACATTTATTTTACATCAAATATTATGTAACATGTAACCATACATTCAATGTTACCCGAACAAACCAAACCGTTAACTCTTGATTGGTTTTATCAATTTTTGTTTGAATTGTTCCATTTAATATTGAATACATGGTTAAACACTATGATACATTTAAGGCTCATTTACAAACTAACGTGCTTTTTAGCAAAGGAAATTTACTTAGTGTATTTAATTGCAATAACATTACACTTATAGTATTAGAATCTTATAGTAGAGAGCAAGATGGACAAATTGAGATAAGGTGCTTGGATAGAGGAGAATAACATCAAATTAGTTTTAATAAAATATTAATATGATAGAGAATAGTTGAATATTCCAGTGCATCAAGAGTTTTAAATAGTTTTTCGCCAATTTTCCCATTTATTTATTTTATATAGAATGCA